TAAAAGGCCGTAGATTCCTTTGGGGAAGGCTGGGAGTAAGATTAACAGTAAAAATTTTTGGCAGTGTATTGGAGTCCTTCCTCAAGGGGGCCCGGCCTCCCCTTCATTCAAGGGGTTATGCATCTTTAAACTCGCTCAAATCTGGGAATTGGTTGAGGGACCGTGACTCTCTATCCTGGTGATTCGAGTTAGATTGCTGTTCACCTGGACTAGAATTCCTCTGTTTGTACAGATCAAGTAAATATCTAGGAGATTTCCTATCTATTTCACTCCTAGGGACACCATGACTAAGAAGCCAATGCCATAAATCCATATGAGTCAAGCTATTCTCATTACTGCTTTGACTCCACTGTTCTTTACTGTAACCACGCCCACCTTGTCTTTGTCGACTGACTGAGCCACTTGGCCCCTACTACTACAGGGTCCAATCAGCCCCATTGTAGTTAGGTGTCTTAATTCATTTACAGCACTTCCCACTGTCAAATCTGACTTACATAAAATAGCAATCACAACAGTCTTCAAGGATGCTGGAGCTCCCTTCACAAATTTGTTCCTCACAGTTGTGTGTACTCTGGTCACTCCACGTGTGGGTCTGTGGGTCTAACCTGATAAATACACTCTAGTATGTCGATTTCCCTAAGCCTTTGGATACCTTCTTTTACAGTATACCAAAGCAGGTCTGGTACTTCAACTTGATTTAGTGTCGGTCACCTCGTAATCCATGCTTCAGCAACCCAACCAAATAAACTATTAGATCCTTTCCTAACTTCTCGAGTTGAAACATTGAATAAACAATCTGTGCTTAGTGGACCCATATAGATAAACTCAGACTGGTCCATCTTTATGTTCCTTGCACCACTATCCCACACCCTTAATAGCCATTCCCACACATATCCCTCAGGTTTCTGTTTGTACATATTAGAAAAGTCAAGCAGGTCTTCTGGAGTGTAGCGTGCCTCCTCCTGGGTCACACTTTGTACCTCACCTTTTGGGCCTCGCTGGGACTTAAGTCTAGTTATAGGTCTAGAAACCAGAATCGGTAGTGTGGAATTGTTTTGAGAACATTTGGCATCGTCTTGTAAAGCATCTGCCTCACGCAATGCCCCAGGCAACGACTCAGGCAATGGCTCTTTAGAGACAGCTAAACTAGGGCTAATCTCATTAGATGGGAGTGGAGGGGCTAAAGACAAAGACTTGGTGATCTACTTTCGTAAAGATTACATCCTAGAAATCCCTATGGGGCAGTTTTACTCTGTCACAAGGCATCAGTATGAGTCAAAAATCAACTCAACAGCACACAACAACGACATGTGCCAGGCTGTAGCCTAGCAATAGCCAAGGTAGATGAGGAGGCTTTTTTTTACAGAGCTTACATCTTGACAAGGGAATAAAAACCAAAACATACATACATACACACACGTACATATATACATAAAATAAAGACAAGTGAAACCATAAATAAATATTTTCAGAGAGTAAGTGCTAGGAAAAATATAAAATGAGGGTGGGGCGATGTACAGTACTAGACAGGTGGTCACGAAAGTACTTTTTAAGAATGTGATATTTGAGCTGAGTCCTGAATAACAAGACATCGACATTGTGAAGATCTGAGAAAAACATTTCAAGTAAAGTGAGTGCAAAAGCCCTGAGGCAGAAATAAGCTGATAGGTGAGGTGAATGAGGGGGAAAGTTGTAGGAGGTGAGATCCAAGAGGGAAGCCAGGGTTAAATAAAATAGGATCTTGTTAGTCATGAAAAGGAGCTTGGGTTTTATTTCAAGTTCAATGGGAAGCCACTGGAGGATTGTAAGTTACTGTGACAACCAAAAATGTCCCCAAAAATGTCGTCTCCCCTGCATTTCCAAATGTCCCTTAGGGAAGCAGTAACTTCCTCAGGTAAAAACCACTGATAGTCCAACCTCTCTTTCTCTCAGCTCAAGGATCTCTATCCATCATCCATGATCTAAAATATGGAATGATTACCCACCACCCCACAACCTCTGCTTTTTGATAATTCTGTCCATATTTTAAGGTCCATGATACTACTGCTGTTCCCAATCATATGTGAGCTTTCACTCCCTTGAATCTTCATAGTTTCCATATGGATAGTTCTGCAGGATGGAAATTGATACATTTGCAGACTTTTTGGACTCCACTTGCTCCACTACCCAATAGATTGCACAGATGCATCTACTCCTCTTTGTTTTCCATCTGTGGTTACAGAACAAAGTGCTTGCAGAATTGAAATGAGACTGGAATATTCTCTCTCTCATAGTTTGTCTTTCTGCTTTTTCTCATCTCACCCGATTTTACTGAAACTGAGAATTAAAATGATGAAGAAAAATAACACACTGCTCAAAGAGGAGAAATAAACAAGGTCTGGTTCTTCCCTAAACCTGATGGACCATATCCCAGGATGTCCACTTCCAACTGTGGAAAAGTGAAAATTTTTACTAGTTAAATAGCAAATTACCCGGCAGGGTGGTCTGACGATTATCCAGTTTACAGCCCAGGATGCTCTAGACAATATGTACATACTGTGCAGAGCTTACTTAGGATGGGTCAAAAGTCTCCCTTCTGAGGGAGACTCCCTTCTTGGTATTCTGAATGTTGGAATTTTCAAGGCTCTTTCCCATCTCTCCTGCCAGGATCATCCAGATTAAGTGTGCAACCGTCACTGACTGATTGTTGGCCAGACAAAACGTGCTCAAATAGACAGATTATCTGCCCATAACTAAATCACAGAATTCCTTAAATTCTATATTTTAACCATCACAACAACAAACAAATACTTGGTCCCTATATTTTGAAAGGAGCCCTGGTGTTGCAGTGGGTAAATGTTTGGCTACCAACCAAAAGGTTGGTGGTTCAAACCTACCAGCCACTCCAAGGAAGAAATATGTGGCAGTCTACTTCCATAAATATTACAGCCTTGGAAAATATTATTACCCTATGGAGCAGTTCTACTCTGTCCTACAGGGTCACTATATGTCGGAATAAACTTGACGGCAACAGGTGTGGGTTTTTTGGTTTTGGTTCAATTTTGGACTCTGTGCTAACCACAGAGAATATAAAGGTAAATAAAACGCAGCCCTACCCTTGAAGAACTCACAGTCTAATGGGGAAGATAGACCAAGTTAACAAATAATCCAATACAATGCAATATATATTTTAAAAAGGATTCAGAAAAAAGTACTATTGAAACATTAGCTACACAGCCATATTGTTGAAACACTAACTCAAAAGTGGCCAACTTAACCTGGGAAAGGCAAATATATATACCCATTGCCGTCAAGTCGATTCCAAAATACAGCGACTCTACAGGACAGAGTAGACCTATCCCATAGTGTTTCCAAGGAGCAGCTGGTAGATTTGAACTGCTGATCTTTTGGTTAGCAGCCAACCTCTTAACCACTGTGCAACACAGGTCTCCATATATATTTATATATATTCCTGGAGCTCCTCCTCTGATCCAGGCACTGTGCTAGATAGTGGGGAGATAGAAGTAAACACAGCTTCTGCCTTCATGTAATTTAGACAGAGCTGGAGAGACAAGTCCAGGAAAAAAATAAATACATAAATGTATAAAGAACAGCTGTAGGGAGTGAAAAGTGCCATGAAGCAAAGAAAAGGGTTGTATAAAAGAGAATGATAGCGAGAACAAATTAAGATCCAGAAGGCTTTCAGAGGCAATGACACTACAGTTAAGACATGAAAGAAGAATAGGTTTTAGCCAGGAAAGGAGTTGAGAAAGAGGAAGAAATTAATTTCCAAATTAAATTAAAATACTCTGTATCTGAGTTCATGCTGGCTCCACCACAATCTGTTTGGCTATGAACAACTGGCTTAACATTCTGCTCCTTGGTTTCTCCATCTGTAAAATGGGGGTAAAAATACTAGCCCAGTATTCTTCAAAGACTTTTCAGAATTCAGAAAGAGATAATAGCTGTAAAGGCATTAAGTTAAAGATACAATGCAGGAGCTTAGTATGGGCAGTTTTTCATAAAATTAAACAGTTACCTCAGTTGCTCTTTTACTTATTAAGCTAGTAAAATTCCCTTTTTTTCCAGCCTTTGTTCGTATACATGCTAGCAACAATACATGAATCAGTTTTCTATATTCTTATTGCTTCTGAAGTATTGTTTTTATAAACTTTAATTAACCATTTCCAAACGAAACTGCCATTTCCTACACTTCAAATTTGCCTTCAAAGTCACAAACTTTTAAAAGAAAAAAAAAAAGACATTCTCAATAAATCCAACCTAACTGATATGTTTTTAAACAGTGAAACAACATTTCTGCAAAGTAATCACCCATCCCTCTCCCAATGTTAGAAGCAAACCTGCGTTTTTGCTGTGGAAACTGTTTATCTTCTCCTTCAAGCTAAACTCTACTTTGCAAGATCTCCTCTTCCAATCTTTTTTTTTTTTTTTAAAAAAAAAAGACCCTGTACCTTTAATAACAGAGACCTGGTGAGAGGTTGCTTTCGAAAGTTGTTCCCTGGCTTCCAACTGACGAAACCAGCTGTAATCTGAGAGCACAGAGATCCTCAGAATATCATTAGCCAAAGGAAAGGCTCCGCATTCCCAGTTCAGGAGTTGAAATAGTATCAGAGGGCAAGAGCCTTTCTCTCCAGCTACAGGCTCCATCTCCCAGGAGCAAGCGAGAACTCCGGGAGTGGGGCAACCCAGCCAGAGTACAGCCAGAGCACTGGAGGAGGGATTCCCACTCCCCACTGTGCGCGGGAGGAAGAACCAGCATACCATCTGCCGCAGAGCGCAGCGCAAAGGTGCATGCTGCGCCGCTGCGGGCGGTACCACCCAGACACCGGTGCACACAGCCACATGCAGCCTGCTGGGGAGGGGGGTCCAGGGTGCAGCAAGCCGGCAGGGGCAGAGGCTGACGCCGTCTCAGGGAGGCACTGACTGACAAGGGGACCCCCTTCCTTGCGCCTGGGCCAAACGTCTTCTCCTGGGGTCCCCAGTAATCCTGAATATCCAGGATGGTATTCTTGAAGTTCCTCTGGATGGGTTTCTTCTGCCACCTGTGTCAGGGCTACTTCGACGGCCCTCTCTACCCGGAAATGTCCAATGGGACCCTGCACCACTACTTCGTGCCCGATGGGGACTATGAGGAGAACGATGACCCTGAGAAGTGCCAGCTGCTCTTCAGGGTGAGTGACCAACGGCGTTGCTCCCAGGGGGAGGGGAGTCAGGCCAGCAGCCTGCTGAGCCTCACCCTGAGGGAGGAGTTCACTGTGCTGGGCCGCCAGGTGGAGGATGCTGGGCGCGTCCTGGAGGGCATCAGTAAGAGCATCTCCTACGACCTGGACGGGGAAGAGAGCTATGGCAAGTACCTGCGGCGGGAGTCTCACCAGATCGGGGATGCCTACTCCAACTCGGACAAGTCCCTCACTGAGCTGGAAAGCAAGTTCAAGCAGGGCCAGGAGCAGGACAGCCGGCAGGAGAGCAGGCTCAATGAGGACTTCCTGGGGATGCTAGTCCACACCAGGTCCCTGCTGAAGGAAACACTGGACATCTCTGTGGGGCTCAGGGACAAATATGAGCTGCTGGCGCTCACTATCAGGAGCCATGGGACCCGGCTAGGGCGGCTGAAAAACGACTATCTTAAAGTGTAGACGGAAGTGCACATTGCCAGAGAGCAGGAATCCAACAGCTCCTTTGTGGAGGCTGGGGAATGGAAATGGGGGCTCACGATTCCCTTATACTTATTATTTTTATAGTTCAGATTTGCACTTTGAGAATGAATCTGAGGTTATCTAAAATAAAAGAAAGAAAAAGTGAGAATGGAGTGGTTTTTTGTTTTGTTTTTGCACATTATTTATGTGATTGCTATTGATTTATGGCCTCGGAAGAAAAAGGTAAAGCAATGCCTCCTGCCTTTCCAAGAGGGCTTTATAACTCTGCAGAGACACCTGTTTCACATCTAAAAGGACATCATGTATACGGTAGGAGTTGGTTAAACTTCCCCACCCTGGAGACTATCTGGAAACAAGAGAGTATAATGTGCAGCTCCTTTACACATCAGCCTTCTCTCTTGATGGGCTCTGAGAGCTGTCAAAATTGCCTGTTTTTTCAAATGAGGTCCAAGGTGCTGCTCTGCATGCCTGCCAGCCAGTGGAAGTTGCCTGCTTCTGCTTTTCTTTCTTATTTATTAACCATGGTCTCTAAGTTCTGTTTTTGTAAGAGTATTTGGCTAGAAACTGTATGTAAATCAGCTTTGGAGGGACATTCTTGAGGTGCCTCTGTGGGTGTGTGCAAATTAAAGTGGCCACATGTAAGGAGTCTAAGCTTTGTCGCGGTTACACACTCACACTGACGCGCTGAGTTACTACGGAGCGTTTATGTGCTTGTCTCTCATTGTATGTCTATGCTTTGTCATCAGTGCCACAGTCAATTACAAAGAAGCAGATTGTTTGGGTTCACCCTCAAATGCCTATGATTTAGGTAACCGTGTTCTTTCTCATTTGGGGGTTTTGCTTCTGTTTGCTCGTTGGAAACTTGTACTTTAAGTTGGGGGAATTCTAAGTCTCTGGTGACTCTTTAGCTAAGTTTTATTATTCAGCCAATAAATATGTTCTCATATGATACTGGCTTATTTTCTAATTTGAATATGTAACTTTTACATTTCAAGGGGAGGATGGTGGGCAGAAAGAAAGAAAAGGATGGGATTTAAGCCAGTTTACATAGAGTACATAATAAAGAAGGCAGAGGAAGGAATAGCTACATATTTGGCAGTCCTCCCTTCCCTGAACACCCTTATTCTCTTCAAAAGGAGAAAAAAAAAAAAACTAGCCTGTGCCAGAACTTTAAATTTGATCTCTACTGATACGCTTAAATCTCCAGTTTTCTCCAGTTTTTTCTGTTCAATCCTGTACAATGACAAGGCTCATACCTTATATGCCCCCATTAAGCAGCAGGAAGATTCCATCTCTGAGTTATACAACTACAAGGATGTTTAATAATTTTGAGGCCAAGTCTGTTATTTAATTAATGATTTTAAATCATGACAATGCACTTTATTCCATGTCTTTCCCTGGACCGATCCCCACCTCTACCTTAAATATGCTTTCCCTTCACACACGCACAGACACACACACACACACTCAGACTCACACACACACACACTCACGTGCAGGAAAATAAATATATGCCCATACTGAACTGTTTAAAAGTGAGCCATCATTTCTCTCCCATGTCCAAGGAGCTCAGTTTTCCATTCCGATGTAACGCCCAATAGCCTCCTATTATAGCTGGGGAAACGAAGGCCCAGAAAGGATAAGTGACTTCTCCATAGTTAGTTGTAGCAGCTCCAGGTCCTGTAGCTTGAAAAGTACAGGATTTCCCCACAGTGCTGTCTTTTTCTAAGATGTTGAGAGACGAGAGAGAGTAGCCTGAGGCCTAAAACTTTGCATAATGATATTATTGTTTAAATTTTAAAACTTGTAGAATAATACTTGAAATAATCATTCATAATTTATTTTAGCCACCCAGGCCCTTGCTTTAAGCTACCTCTAGTGTCTTGTGTGGAAAGCAGGTAAATGGTAATTTAAAGGGATTTCTTACTTTGTTCTATGAAAAGAAAAAAGAGAGAGAGAGAGAAAATTAACAGCACAGACACAGGAGATGATATTTAGGTATTTAAATGTTGGTAGTTTGGAACCACAGCTCTTCATATCACTCACTTCACTGTGCTCAGATCTAATCCACAGGCACCTCCTTAGCTTTCCCAACTGTAAGAGCAGGATATTGGACATATGATGGTAATGGAAAACTGGTTTCATCATGCATGCTAATTTCAATCAGTTGGTAATGGTTGCATAAAGTATTACATTAAGAAGGATTCAAAAACCTCAAAAGTAGAGTGCTGTCCCCAGTTTGAGATGTCTTCCATTGGTGCGAGAAGGGCAGTAGCGATGCATCTGCTCCAAATTTGAAAACCCTGAAGAGATTATATACGAGGCTCTTTCCAGGGCTAACATTCTATGAGTCCTTCAAAACCAGAACAGAATTATCTGGCATTGAATCACCTCATTCAAGGCTAGATGTACAGCCAGTAATCCCACAAAGTCTTATGTAAATAACCCCAGAGGGCAAATGGGAATTTCCTGGTAGGGAAAAAGAGCAGTCCCAGACTGCCAGCCCAGAAGCCAGCATCACAGGGCTTTTCCAAGACTTCTGATGGTGGGGAGCCAGCGCCACTCAGGTCTGTCCTCCCCACTTCCTCATTATTCTCATCATGACTTCCTCACTCATATGGCAACACAGTTTTTTTTTAAAAAAAGGTGGGGTTTTTTTGTTTTTTTTTTTTTTTGTTTAAATTTCATAAGCCATGAAATGTTTTGAGAATCTGAAGAAAAGTATATACCCTCTTCCCTGAAAACTACTTGTGAACACAACCATACAATTTAGGCTATTAGTTATTTCCAATAAATATTTGTCGATCACTTAATATGTGCCAGGCCCTGGGCTAGGTTGTGAGTAATTCTGGGATGTTCACAAAGCCTTGGGACTTCATCTATAGACCAAAGATTAAAAAGGCCTCTTAGAGTTTTATCTGAGCAGGAAGCATTTAGTAGTCGTAGTAGTAGTTATATACAACCCTAGGGAGACGACGTTCTACTCGGTAACACATGAGGTCGCCATGAGTCGGGGCCGACTCGATGACAACTAACCACAACAACATAACAAAAATGACAAAGTAGCTAACTTTCTTCAGAATTCACTATTATTGGTCAGTTCCTACTCTAAGAACTTATCTGGGTTATTTCCCTTAAATCTTACAACTGTATGGGGAAAGCATTTTATAAAAGGAATTAGTATATGTCAAGCTCTTGAACAGTACCTAACAGAGTGAAACCTCAATAAATGTTAGCTGTTGTTGTAGTAGCTGTTATCATCATTTTTATAACCGAGGCCCAGATAGCCAAAGTAATTTATCCAAAGTTAAAACTGTGTGATGTCTTATATACTTCCCTATGCTCTCACTTTTAACTGAGTGGGATATATGAACAAATAAAAAAAGAATGTGGAGGGGATGAGAGATGTCTACTGGGACTTCTAGCTGTTCAACCAAATGTGGTCCCCTACAGGCCATTCAGAGTCTCTGGGTGGTGTGAATGGTTAACATGACCAACTGCTAACCAAAAGGCTGGAGGTTTGAGTCCACCCAGAGGTGCCTTGGAAGAAATGCCTGGTGATCTTCTTCTGAAAAATCAGCCATTGAAAACCCTGTGGAGCACAGTTCTGCTCTGACACACACGGGGTCACTATAAGTCAGAATGGACTCAACAGCAACTGGTTTCATTTTGTTTTTTACAGGCCGTTCAACTTACATCCTACAGCAATTCAGATGTCTTATACTGTCTGGTAATCAGAACTGAGTGGCCCTCTGTTTATAGAATTACTCATTGATATTTTCTCTGTGAGATGCATTGTTCAATAACCAGCAATTCTCACACCCCCAAACTTCCATGTACCTATTTTGACATATTCTTCACATACCTGTCTACATAAAGTCCATTGTGAAGTTCACCAGGCCATTTCAGCCTCTGCAACAACTAAAGCCAGGCCACAGAAACATGAGAAGCCAGCAGGTGCAGGTGTGTGACAGACAGCCACATTAGGAGGCCGTTCAAGTAATTTACACCCTTTTCATCGCCTTGTAAACTCTCGTTTACAGCTCTGCTAAGGAAACCGGCTCAGAACTTTCTGAAAGAAGCCTTAAAACTTAGATTGTAAGCTATTTTAGTAAGCAACAAAAATATCTATGAAGCTCACTGAAGATATGAAATCACCCTAGTGGCACTATGGTCAAATTTTTTTGGTGCATTTTTTCAGAAGATGATAATTACAATGTTCTTGTTTATCCACAATGAGATAGTATTTCACTGTCACTAGGATAGCTAAGACTTAAAAAAAAAAGAAAAACAGAAAATAACAAATGTTGGTGAAGATGTTGGGAAATTGGAATACTTAGCCATTGCTGGTGGGAATGTCAAATGGTACAACTGTTGGGGAGAATAGTGTGGTGGTTCCTCAAAAAACTAAAAACAGAACTACCATATGACACAGCAATTCCACTCCTAGGTATATAGCCAAAAGACTTAAAAACAGAGACTCAAAAAGAGATTTCTACACCAACGTTCATTGCTGCACTATTCACAATAGCCAAAAGGTGGAAACAACCTAAATGCCTGTCAACAGATGAATGGATAAACAAGATGTACATACATACAATGGGATACTACTCAGCCAGCAGGAGAAATGAAGTCTTCATACATGCTACAGTGTAGAGGGAACTTGAAGACAATATGCTGAGCACAATAATCCAATCACAAAAGGAGAAATATTGTATAATCTCACTTATATAACTTTATCAGTGGTTACCAGAGGTGGGAGGGAGGGAGGAAATGGGGTTAACAGTGATGGAAAAATCACATTGATTAAGGTTATTGCACAGCCGATTATTGTAATTGCTGCCAAGACGTTGTACACCTGTAAAATGTTGTTGCTAAAAGTCGTGTGATAGATATATTTATAACAACCACACACACACACACACACACACACACACACAAAGAGTAGCTGTTGAGGCTGCCTATGTACAACCAAACACTTCATGGGATTTGGTTCCCTGGTTTAGCGTCACGGTTTCATGGGACATCCCAGTAAATTGGCCTAATAACGTGTGTAGTGTTTCTGTTCTACCTTCTAGTTTATTGTGTAGTGCCTGGGGTCTTAAGCTTGCAAGCGGTCCTCCAAAGCACAACAATTGGTCTCTATTCACCTGGAGCAACAGAGGAAGAAGGAAAGTCAGGAATACCAGGAAGATATGGAACGAATGGCTAATTGACTCAATGAACAACTGCCTCTTTTGCCATGTGACCAGAAGAACTGGATG